GTACAACCTCCAGGACACCAACACTGGGAAAAACGCCGACATATGCCTCTATTGGAGCCCCCAGTGGCACAGCAGGTTAAACCGCTGAGATGCTGAACTTGTTGACTGAAAGGTCAGTGGTTTGAATCTGGGGAGCGGGTGAGCTCCTGCTGTTAGACCCAGCTTCTGCCAACCTAGCAGTTCGAAAACATGCAAATGTGAGTAGATCAATATGTGTTCTGTGTATGTGTATGTGTTCTGTGATCCGCCCTGAGTCCCCTTCAGGTTGAGAAGGGCGGAATATAAATGCTGTAAATAAATAAATAAAGTTCTGTTCCTGGTTTGAAAGTGTTAGGTTAGGTAAAGGTCCAGTTGTGTCCAACTCATCTCCATTTCTAAGCCGAAGAGCCGGCATTGTCCATAGACGCCTCCAAGGTTATGTGGCCACTGGCATAACTGCATGGAGTGCCCTTACCTTCCCACCGGAGTTGTACCTATTGATCTACTCACATTTGCATGTGTTTGAATGCTAGGTTGGCAGAAGCTAGGGCTAACAGCATGAGCTCACGCCGCTCTCCAGATTTGAACCTACAACCTTTCAGTCAGCAAGTTCAGCGGTTTAACCCACTGCGCCACCGGGAGTAATTTCCTGTTCAATTGTACAGTCCTTATTTTGAAAGTCATTGTTCCATTCCAGAAACTTTGTTTTTATTGTGGCATAAATGATGTTGAATGGGTTGTTGTAGGTTTTTCCGGGTTATATGGCCATGTTCTAGAGGCATTTTCTCCTGACGTTTTGCCTGCATCTATGGCAAGCATCCTCAGAGGTAGTGAAGTCTGTTAGAAGTAGGAACATGGGTTTATATATCTGTGGAATGGCCAGGGTGGGAAAAAGGACTCTTGTCTGCTGGAGCTAGGTGTGAATATTTCAACTAACCATCTTAATTAGCATTTGATGGCTTGGGTTGAGACTCTTATGATGAAATATTCATTGAAGGACTAGAGCAAAATGCGCTGCAGCAGGATGTCTTGCAGAAACAAAGTTTTTGCACTTTAATGCACTTTCCCCATGTTTTTATGATGGAACCAATTAGGAAATGACATTGGGAACCCAGGAACAAAAATCATAGTGTGGTGTAGTGTTGCTTGGGCAGTGCTGCGAAACGTGGACTGTCTACAGATGTCACAGGCAACTCCTGGAATGATTCCATCAGCGCTGCCTCTGGAAAATCCTGCAAATCTCTTGGGAAGACAAGCGGGGAAATGTCAGCATGGGATGTGTTATTGCCCCAACCTTATTTTCCATCTTCATCGCTATGATACTTCATCTTGTTGACGGGAAGCTTCCCACCGGAGTGGAAATCATCTATCGAACAGATGGCAAGCTGTTTAACCTCAACAGACTGAAAGCCAAAACCAAGGTTACAACAACATCTGTTATAGAACTCCAGTATGCTGATGACAATGTCGTCTGTGCGCATTCAGAAGAAGACCTACAAGCCACTCTAAACACCTTCGCAGAAGCATACGAGAAGCTCGGCCTGTCACTGAACATCAAGAAAGATTTGGACAGATGGCAAGCTATTTAACCTCAGCAGACTGAAAGCCAAAACCAAGGTTGCAACAACATCTGTTATAGAACTCCAGTATGCTGATGACAATGTCATCTGTGCGCATTCAGAAGAAGACCTACAAGCCACTCTAAACACCTTGCAGAAGCATACGAGAAGCTCGGCTTATCATTAAGCATTGAGAAAACCAAAGTGCTCTTCCAGCAGTCACCAGACTGAAAGCCAGAACCAAGGTTCAACAACATCTGTTATAGAACTCCAGTATGCTGATGACAATGCATCTGTGCACATTCAGAAGAAGACCTACAAGCCACTCTAAACACCTTCGCAGAAGCATACAGGAAGCTCGGCCTGACATTGAATATCAAGAAAGATGGCAAGCTATTTAACTTCAGCAGAGTGAAAGCCAAAACCAAGGTTGCAACAACATCTGTTATAGAACTCCAGTATGCTGACGACAACATCATCTGTGCACATTCAGAAGACCTACAAGCCACTCTAAACACCTTTGCAGAAGCATACGAGAAGCTCGGCCTGTCACTGAACATCAAGAAAGATTTGGACAAATGGCAAGCTATTTAACCTCAGCAGACTGAAAGCCAAAACCAAAGTCACAACATCTGTTATAGAACTCCAATATGCTGATGACAATGTCATCTGTGCGCATTCAGAAGAAGACCTACAAGCCACTCTAAACACCTTCGCAGAAGCATACGAGAAGCTCGGCCTGTCACTGAACATCAAGAAAGATTTGGACAGATGGCAAGCTATTTAACCTCAGCAGACTGAAAGCCAAAACCAAAGTCACAACATCTGTTATAGAACTCCAATATGCTGATGACAACGTCATCTGTGCACATTCAGAAGAAGACCTACAAGCCACTCTAAACACCTTCGCAGAAGCATACGAGAAGCTCGCCTGTCATTGAACATCGAGAAAACCAAGTGCTCTTCCAGCAGTCACCAGCCAATCCCTCTCAATGCCAGAAATACAGCTTAATGGTGTAACATTAATCATCATCATCATCATCATCATCATCATCATCTTTATTTATATACCACTCTATCTCCCGAAGGGGACTCTGAGCGGTTCCCAGGTAAAAATCACAGAACATACAAAGTAAAAACAACATAACCATAAGATTAACAAAACAAAATATGCATAAAATTTGTCACCATAACACACATATATTAAAAGTAATCCTGCCTGTTCAAGGCAATTAAAAAAAAATTAAAAAGCCTGGGCCAAGATTTGTGCAAGACCAAAAATTCTAGTGGGGTGGGAATTAAATGCAATGCTATGGCAGGCAACAATAATATTAGGTATGGGTCTGTGGCTGTTCATTCCAAAGCCGACTAGACGAAATGATCTGGGGAACTGGTAGGAAGAATAAGGCCGTATTCGACCATGTCTAGGGCTGAGTTAGAACTGGTCATTTTCAAAAGCTCGTTGAAACCACCAGGTCTTCAAGCTCATACGAAACATTAGAAAATGTGGACCGTTTCCACTCCCTTGGCAGCCACCTCTCCACCAAAGTCAACATCGACACCGAAATACAACACCGCCTGAGCGCTGCGAGTGCAGCATTTTTCCGAATGAAGCAGAGAGTGTTTGAGGACCGGGACATCCGTAGGGATACCAAGGTGCTTGTTTATAAAGCTATTGTCCTCCCAACCCTGCTATATACCTGCGAAACGTGGACTGTCTACAGATGTCACATGCAACTCCTGGAACGATTCCATCAGCGCTGCCTCCGGAAAATCCTGCAAATCTCTTGGGAAGACAAGTGGACAAATGTCAGCGTGCTGGAAGAAGCAAAGACCACCAGCATTGAAGCGATGGTCCTCTGCCATCAACTCCGCTGGACCGGCCACATTGTCCGGATGCCTGACCACCATCTCCCAAAGCAGTTGCTCTACTCCGAACTTAAGAACGGAAAACGGAACGTTGGTGGACAGGAAAAGAGATTTAAAGATGGGCTCAAAGCCAACCTTAAAAACTCTGGCATAGACACTGAGAACTGGGAAGCCCTGGCCCTTGAGTGCTCCAGCTGGAGGTCAGCTGTGACCAGCAGTGCTGCAGAATTTGAAGAGGCATGAATGGAGGGCGAAAAAGAGAAATGTGCCAAGAGAAAGGTGTGTCAAGCCAACCCCGACCGGGACTGCCTTCCACCTGGAAACCGATGTCCTCACTGCAGAACATGCAGGTCAAGAATTGGGCTCCAGTCACCTACTGTTGTGGCTCACTTTGAGCCTGAGCTTTCTGAGCCTGAGTTTCCTCAGGACAAGGAGGATGATGGGTTACAGATTTCTGAACATGTTCCTGTTGTTGATGCAGACAATGTTGATACTGAGGATGAGGCCCCATTTAAGTTTCACAGGGAAAGGAATGTTTTAGATGATGGTCATGATTTGAGTGAAACTTCACAGCTGCAGGTGGATGAGTGACCCCTCCATCTGTGAGCTCAGTGCCTGTCGATTCCCAGGCTGGCCAGTCCCAGGATAATGAGTTATTCGGCCTTGAAGGTGATGGGAATTTGGTTAGGGAGGACCATTTGCAATTAAGGGTACGCTGAAGAACTCGGCTTGCTAACAAACGGGAAGTTCGAGGTCAACGCAATGCTTTCATGCTAGGAAAACATATTTAACGATCTGATTGAAGTCAACCTTTTGTCAGTGCAACTTTGCTTACACCCTGTTAACTTCTCTGGAATTGCCTCGGCTTTTGGGGAAAGCTTTTGGCTCTTTGGGACTTTGGTTTTGATCTTGCTTTCTGGGAACTTTGTCATGCTGCCAAAGATGCAATGCTTGTGGATTATAGTTCATGTTATTTGCCTTTGGACCTTGGAAATTTTGGCTTTGCATTTAAGACTCTGTTTTGGCTTTTGAACTTTTGCAACCTTATTTCTATTTTTATGATTTTGCTTTTTTCTTCAGTAAACTGCAAAACCTACAGCCTTGGTGTGTGGAGGTGTTCTGAGCAAGGTGAAACTTTCCTGAGCTGCGACACCTACGGACCCACCCTGGAGGATTATCCTACTCAGACAATGAGGGATTGCCTAAGTAAGTAAGTAAGTAACTAAGTAAGTAAGTAAGTAAGCTGCTCCTTTTTGCCTGTTCCAATTTAACAGAAAGCTCCCGAAAGTTGCAATTTGAGACATTTCCTGATTTCGTCTTGAAATGCACCCTAATATCATTTCGCACAGTATTTTCAGAGTTACGTCTTTGGTTCCAAAACCCAATTCTTCCACCTCTTTCCTTCTCAGTCGCTCACGAATGCTCCGCTTTAAGGGGATGAATCATTTGGAAAGGCCTTCTCGGCATCTATTTTTGAAACGTTGGGATGAATCATAACAAAACAAGAGATCGTCGGCAAGGATGATAACGCTAATTGTGATTTATAGGTGGGATTAAAAAATAATAATAAAGATCAAGTAAGAAACACATTCCAAAGTTGGAAATATTTACAGGCAACATCACAATGCATTGCATTTCGAAACAGGAGCTCCTTGCTTTGTTTGGCCTTTTGGGTTTGGTGATTTTTGCTTTTGTCGATCAATCCTGAATCTTGAGAACGCTCCTTTTCTCCAAGTCGTTCATCTCCTTCAGGATCAGAGCAACGTTGTACCGTAATTCTTGAAATTTTGACACCGGCACCTGGAATACAGAAGGGATCATATTCACAGAAGTTAGGAATATATATATATATATATATACACACACACACACACACACACACACACACGCACGCACGCACACACACACGCACGCATGCACACACACACACGCACACACACACACACACACAAGAGACTCTCCATTAACCAGCATCATTTCTGGATGCTTGAGAGTCACTATTTAAAACTTGGTTACTAATACAATACTCTGTACTATACTATAGGACTATATTTTTTTTCCTGTAAATGTTTTTTTAATTATATATATTTATTTTAATACATACACAACATTTATAGTTCCCACCACCATGAGGATTGTTTTCTTTTACATATTAATTCTTTTTGAGATGAACCTTATAAATTAACATACTATATAACATTTGTCTCCTATTTCTTTCTTTCTTTTTTCCTTTTTCTTAAATATTTTAAATATTTTTTAAATTAATTATTTGACATAATCTCATATATAATCAGAAAATATACATTCAGAAATACTGGAACATGTCTAGATCTGTATGTAGACAGCAACTTGTACAAAGTAAGTATAACATATTATACCATTCACTCAAGTTTAAGACACTTTCAAAGGAAAATCCATGCAAACTATTCCTAACTAGAACTGAGTCTATCTAGCTAGCAGCAATAGTGTCATCAGCTACTCCCACCCCCATATCATATGCAAAAAATAAATAAATGCCAATGTATTTTTTTTGGGGGGGGGGGGATTCCTTGCAAGGCAAGAAATGTATCTTCATGATCAAGATGGTTTCAGAGTATGTCCAAATACATCTTGATATTACATCAATAAAAAAGAAAACAAGAATGGGAGAAGGCAACAAAGTACTCTCTTATGACTAGAGCTTTCTGACTATTTTACATACACAGGCATGGACAACTGCAAAAACCCAATTTGTGTAAATTGAAGGATGTCCAAAACCATAATCAAATGTTTCATTAGCGTTATGCCAACATATATAACTTTTCCAGGAATCTCTTTTTTCTATTGTATAGCGGGGGATGCCTGGCTCGAGAGCAGTACGTGTGAAAAAGATCTTGGAGTCCTCGTGGACAACAAGTTAAACATGAGCCAACAATGTGATGTGGCGGCAAAAAAAGCCAATGGGATTTTGGCCTGCATCAATAGGAGCATAGTGTCTAGATCTAGGGAAGTAATGCTACCCCTCTATTCTGCTTTGGTTAGACCACACCTGGAATATTGTGTCCAATTCTGGGCACCACCATTCAAGAGAGATATTGACTCTAAGCTGGAATGTGTCCAGAGGAGGGCGACTAAAATGATCAAGGGTCTGGAGAACAAGCCCTATGAGGAGCGGCTTAAGGAGCTGGGCATGTTTAGCCTGAAGAAGAGAAGGCTGAGAGGAGATATGATAGCCATGTATAAATATGAGAGGAAGCCATAGGGAGGAGGGAGCAAGCTTGTTTTCTGCTTCCTTGGAGACTAGGAGCGGAACAATGGCTTCAAACTACAAGAGAGGAGATTCCATCTGAACATTATTCCTGACTGTGAGAGCCATTTAGCAGTGGAACTCTCTGCCCTGGAGTGTGGTGGAGGCTCCTTCTTTGGAAGCTTTTAAACAGAGGCTGGATGGCCATCTGTCAGGGGTGATTTGAATGCAATATTCCTGCTTCTTGGCAGGGGGTTGGACTGGATGGCCCATGGGGTCTCTTCCAACTCTTTGATTCTATGATTCTATGATTTCTTTTTATTTATTTATTTTAATTCTTTCCCTTCTCTTTTCTTTTTTCCCCTTTTTCTCCCTTCCTTTTCTTTTCTTGAAAACTATATGACTATATTGACAATATGAATGCAGTAATTAAAACAACTCAGGAGTAAATGATGACGATAATAATAATAATAATAATATGCATAATAATAATATACATAATAAAATAAAATATATACATAATAAAATAAAAGTAATAAAATATAATAATAATAAATGATAAAATATGTAATAAAATATAATAATAAAATAAACACAATAAAATAAAAGCAATAGATTATAAGAATAATAAAATATGTGTTGTCGAAGGCTTTCGTGGCCAGAATCACTGGGTTGCTGTTAAGTTTTCTGGGCTGCCTGGCCGTGTTCCAGAGGCATTCTCTCCTAAAGTTTCGCCCACATCTATGGTAGGCAATATTGGAGGTTGTGATCTGGCTCCCAGTATTAAAAACTCTAAAATTAGGACAGTAAATAAAGACAACACTCAGAAAACAGGGGAATTCCAGACAGGAAACAATCAGGGCCAGCTAACACCTTCAAACAAAGGATTCCCCCAGGCAGGAAGCAGCCAGGCTTTAAAGCTGCAAGGCCATTCAATGCTAATCAAGGTGGCCAGTTGCATCACTCACACTTGCCTCAAGCAGACAAGAGTTCTTTCTCCTGCCACGGACATCATTCCACAGATATATAAACCTCACTTGCCTAGTTTCCAATAGAGCAGCGTTTCTCAACCTGGGGGTCGGGACCCCTGGGGGGGTCGCGAGGGGGTGTCAGAGGGGTCGCCAAAGACCCATCAGAAAGGTGGAAGGTGAACTACATCTCCCCTAAATCACTGTCAATTCATCCCAAATCCCTCCAGTACATTCTGTTGGTCATGGGGGTTCTGTGTTGGAAGTTTGGACCAATTCTATCGTTGGTGGGGTTCAAGGGACTCTTTGATTGTAGGTGAACTATAAATCTCAGCAACTACAACTCCCAAATACAAAGCTTTAATTTCCCCAAACTCCACCAGTTTTCACATTTGGGCATATTGAGTATCCATGCCAAGTTCGCTCCAGATCCATCATTTGAGTCCACAGTGCTCTCTGGATGGAGGTGAACTACAACTCCAAAACTCAAGGTCAATGCCCACCAAACCCTCCCAGTATTTTCTGTTGGTCATGGGAGTTCTGTGTGCCAAGTATGGCCCAATGCCATCATTGGTGGAGTTCAGAATGCTCTTTGATTGTAGATGAACTGTAAATCCCAGCAACTACAATTCCCAAATGTCAAGGTCTATTTCCCCCAAACTCCACTTGTGTTCACATTTGGGCATATTGAGTATCCATGCCATGTTTGGTCCAGATCCATCACTATTTGAGTCCACAGTGGTCTCTGCATGTAGGTGAACTAAAACTCCCATACTTAAGGTCAATATCCATCAAGCCCTTCCAGTATTTTCTGTTTGTCATGGGAGTTCTGTGTGCCAAGTTTGGTTCAATTCCATCCTTGGTGGAGTTCAGCATGCTCTTTGATTGTAGGTGAACTATAAATCCCACCAACTACAACTCCCAAATGACAAAATCAGTCCCCCCACCCCACTCCACCAGTATTCAAATGTGAATTAAAATACATCTTACATATCCGTTACTTACATGATGATTCCTAACAGTAACAAAATTGCAGTTATGAAGTAGCAACGAAAATAATTTCATGGTTGGGGGTCAGCACAACATATAGAACTGTATTAAGGGGTCGTGGCATCAGAAAGGTTGAGAACCACTGGAATAGAGCCTTCAAACTCTGAGGATGCCTGCCATAGATGTGGGTGAAATGTCAGGAGAGAATGCTTCTGGAATATGGCCACAAAGCCCAGAAAACTCACAGCAACCCAGTGATTCTGGCCATGAAATCCTTCGACAACACGCTGTTTATATTTAATCCTGTTTTAATGTTTGCATATTGGTATACTTGAAAATGTATGCTGATGCTTTTATGTTGAGCGGCTTCGAGTATCCTGCAGGAAAGATAAAGTGGGGTATAAATATAACAACAACAACAACAACAACAATAACAACAACAATAATGTGTATACCTTCCCCTCTTGGATCTGGATAGTGCCATTTTGCCAACAAAATAAATTATTATTATTATTATTATTATTATTATTATTATTATTATGTTGTTGTTGTTGTTGTTGTTGTTGTTGTTTAGTTACAGCAATGGTGCTTCGATCCTGGAAATGGCAATGATGACCATTGGGAGGCTTTTTAATCTGTGCAGAAGTCTCCAAAAGGTCAAGGTTTGGTGAAAACGAATGGCTTCCAAAGCTTGAAATAGCGATTCACTATCTTTTTTGAAAATAATATTAATGCCAAGTCTCTTTTGGTGTCTGATTAGCATCCAAAACCCGCTTACTTCAAAGCGATGGGCCGATCCATCGGAGAGCTTCATCTGCATCAGAATGGACGGTTGCAAGGCACGAGCCAACGAACTGAAAGCAATCGCACAAACATTATCAGGACAAGAGTATAACTGAGAGGCAGGAGGAAGACTCAATGCTCAGCAAACTCTGGTTTTACCCATCTTATGAACATTTCCAACCTCTGCTCTGTACCTGTTTAAGAAAGCAACAATAAACCCAAAAATTACAACAGCAAAACAACAGAGGGGAAACAAAAAATAAAATAAAATCACTCTCAACGAAAGATTCCCCCCAGGCACTTCCAAGCCATTGAATGCAAATCAAGGTGATCAGCTGAAACATTCACAGCTAGCCCCAGCAGGCAAGAGTCCTTTGTCCCACCCTGGTCATTCCACAAATATATAAACCCATTTTTCCTACTTCCAACAGACCTCACTACCTCTGAGGATGCTTGCCACAGATGCAGGCGAAACGTCAGGAGAAAAATTGCCTCCAGAACATGGCCATATAGCCCAGAAAAACTTACAACAACCCAGTGATTCCGGCCAGAAAAGCTTTCAACAATACAAAGCAACAATAGGAAGAAATGCTGAAGGCGACACCTATCAGTGCATCTCTCTCTTTTCAGGATGTGTCGGCTGAACTGCTGACCTGAAGGTCGACGGTTTGAATTCAGGGAGTGGGGTGAGCTCCCTTCTTTCAGCTCCAACTTCCCATGTAGGGCCATGAGAGAAGTCTCCCACAGCAGGGTAACACATCCGGGTGTCCCCTCGGCTATTCTCTCATACCAAAAGCAACTTGCAATTTCTCAAGTCACTTCTGACATGAAAAAAACAAGACCCCCCCCCCCCCGGTGGCGCAGTGGGTTAAAGCCCTGTGCTGGCAGGACTGAAGACTGACATGTCACAGGTTCGAATCCGGGGAGAGGCAGATGAGCTCCCTCTATCAGCTCCAGCTCCTCATGCAGGGACATGAGAGAAGCCTCCCACAAGGATGATAAAACCATCAAATCATCCGGGTGTCCCCTGGGCAACGTCCTTGCAGACGGCCAATTCTCTCACACCAGAAGCGACTTCCATTTTCTCAAGTTGCTCCTGACAACAACAACAACAACAACAACAAAAAACCCAAACAAACCCCCAAAATGTAATACAGAACCCAAGAATTGCTCAGAAGATGAGGAAAGGGATGCTCGGATAGATTCAGAGGGCCCAGGGGATGACAGAAGTGGCCTGGAGAGAGTTGTTTTGGAAGCTCCTGGCAGTTCCCACGAGACCGGCGTGGTTAGTTTTCATGGGAACCTGCCAGAAGTGCAGGCTGAAAGAGGTGGGGGAGACAAATGTTTGTTTAGGTCAAGGCACTTGGAATTGCAGAGACAGAACATGCAATAGAGACAGACTCACTTTCCCCAAAGAATTAGAGATAAGGAGAGGAAAAGCAGGTGTATGCGGAATGATGTTATGGGAGGGATGAGGCCTTCTAAAAGTGGTTCGTGCTGATACAATTCTTGGTGAGAGCAACACTGTATTCAAGTGAACAGCTCTCCGTTTTTGGGCCTGTGTTCTTGGAATTCATGTATTCAAGTTTCTAAGTTTATTCATGTGTGGTATAGGTTGCCTGCCTTGGATTTATGCTATCTTGTTTATGGATATTTGTGGATCCCAGTATACGATTCGAGCTACGAGGAAAGGAGGGTAAGGAATAAAATTATTATTATTATTATTATTATTATTATTATTATTATTATTATTCTACCTGGAAGAAATGGCCACATCCACTCTCCATTTGAGGTCTTCAATTTTGGGCAGCTTGCTAGATTGGTTTTGCAGGGCAGCGTCAAGAGTCGGTCGCCTTTTGGGGAAGAAAAAATACAGAAATACGGCATGAAAATAGGTGCAAATGTAAGGCTTTTGAGAATCACCACATTCTTTTACCAGGAAGAGTCATTCATTGGAAGACAACTTTGACTCCCCCTCAGCTTTGTCAATACAGCCAGGAATGCGAAGTGCAGGAATAATGCTGGAAGCACTGGGTTGTTATTCTTTTCCTCTGATCTTTTCTGCCTATTTCCCAGCTTTAAAAGACCCCTGACTAAGAAAATATGGCCAGAAAATATGAGCAACTTCCAGTAGAGGAAATCATGTTTCCTTCTTCTTCTTCTTTGTGTCCTCCTTCTTTGTTCTTCTCCACACCTCTCCCTGACACATGTCTTCCTTTTTTTCATGCCAGGAGCAACTTGAGAAAGTGCAAGTCGCTTCTGGTGTGAGAGAATTGGCCAATGTATTGTCAAAGGCTTTCATGGCTGGAATCACTGGGTTGTTGTGAGTTTTCCGGGCTGTATGGCCATGTTCCAGAAGCATTCTCTCCTAACGTTTTGCCTGCATCTATGGCAGGCATCCTCAGAAGTTGTGAGGTCTGTTGGAAATTGGAGAATTGGCCGTCTACAAGGGTGTTGCCCAGGGGATGCCCAGATGTTTTTGATGTATTACCAGCCTTGTTAGAGGCTTCTCTTGTGTCCCTGTATGGGGAGCTGGAGCTGACAGACGGGAGCTCACCCCACTCCCCAAACTCAAACCGCCGACCTTTTGCCAATCTCTCCCTCTAGCCACATTGCACCTAAACCCATAATATTTAATTCTGTTTGCATGTTTGTAGATTTCAAATTGTATTGAAATGCTTCTTAATGGAAGATGCATTGAATCTCCTTTGTGGAGAGAAAAAGCAGGGTTTAGATAAACATAACAACAACAACAACAACAACAAAGTGGTGTGGGAAACAATACAAGTCAACGCTACTAACCTGTTCCCAAAGGCCACCGTGGCAAAGTCCACAATGAAGTCTTCTGGGATTCTTAAAAAAGAGAGAAAAAGACCCATTGAAGCAAACAGAACAACAACATCAATGTCAACCTGTCTCACAAATTGCTCAGAGGCATCCTCATTGGTTGGTTGGTTTCAAAAGTTCGCCCAACTTATGTTTATTTATACCCTGCTTTTCTCTTCACTAGGAGATTCAAAGCAGTAATGCACAAAGCTGGTTCTGTTGCTACTAAAGGTTTACAAGAGGCTTTTTCTAAGTAGCAGTGAGGATCAGAACAATTTCTGTTACAGTTGCTACAAGTTAATTGGGTGTGTTATCAACTTCTGCATGTAACAAGGCACTAGGTTTGTGAGCTTTGCATTCGACTTAGCTTGAAGGCTCAATAGAGCTGAAGCTGTTGGATGTTGCTGGGAGAGGTTATGCAGCATCCTGAAGCTGAATCCGTTTGGAGTGCCAAGGAAAACTGCTTATTTATGGCGAGATAAGGATATTCTACTGATAAGAAAGTAGAGAGACTGTATTATTTGCTATCTGTTTGCATGTTGTCATTTGAGGAAGATGACTCACTGGAGATAGGAGCCCCCGGAGGCGCAGTGGGTTAAACCCCTGTGCTGGCAGGACTGAAGACCGACAGGTCGCAGGTTCGAATCTGGGGAGAGGTGGATGAGCTCCCTCTAGCAGCTCCAGCTCCTCATGCGGGGACATGAGAGAAGCCTCCCACAAGGATGATAAAAACATCAATTCATCCGGGCGTCCCCTGGGCAACGTCCTTGCAGATGGCCAATTCTCTCACAACAGAAGCGACTTGCAGTTTCTCAAGTCGCTCCTGACACGACCAAAAGAAAAAACTCACTGGAGATATTGTTTGTTATTCATTGCTGAGAACAACTCTTCTGTTTTGCTTTGTATCATTGAACTACAGTGAATAGAACTATATTTTCTTTTCTATTTAAAGCAACAGACTTATGTATAATTTTTGAGTTTTTAATCACACTAAGAGTAAAAGGGGGCTGAGATATTCTGTGGGATACTAACAGTATCCTGACAGGTTCTTCATTCAACAACAAAGCAAACAACAACAGCAACAACAACTTTATTTTTGTACCCCGCCTCAGTCTCCCCGAAGGGACTTGGGGTTACACATGGCTTACATGTGGCATAAAACACATAAAAATAAAAACACAATACAATACAAAATTAAACCAAAGGCAAATAAAACAAAAGTTTAAGCCCAAAACAGCGCACCACAACGAGAGAAAAAACAAAGCAATACAAAGCAGACATACCTAAGCTCCTTTAAGTCTTCTCGAAAGACCTGTGGAGAGAATAAAAGGGGGGAAAAAGCAGAATTAAAGCCATGTTTCTGCAGTTTCTCCCAAATATTTGGGATATTCAAAAACTGTCCTGGGAAATACCTGCCTTCTGGAAGACGTATGTCATGGTGTGAACATTCAAAAGGATTCACTACTTTGCTTTCATGAGTCCTGTTTGCAAACGGAAAGCCACCCCAGCCATCCAGTCTGGCCAAAAAGGGAAGCCCTTGATCCACAGGCTTAAGTCCTTTCACACCACATGGTCTCCCATCTCGAGGGCAATGCTTAATCCCATCATCCCCTTAAGACTGTTGACACGAGAGTGTTTTAAAGTCACTTCCGATACAGCTCACTTTTATTTTGCCAACACATTTTACCTATAAATGCACAACATGCATATGTGTGGATAGAGATACATAGAGCGATGAACTACATCTTTCTAGGATCTCAAACAAATTGTCAGAAATCCTGGTAATTTGCCTTGAAATTGCCTATCAAAATAAATATAAATGTATTGTCAAAGAATCACTGGGTTGTTGTAAGTTTTTCTGGACTGCATGGCCATGTTCCAGCAGCATTCCCTCCTGGCATTTTGCCTGCATCTGTGGCTAATGGTTCTTCAGAAGCAAGTGGTGTGTGTGTGTGTGTGTATACACACACATATACACATACTTGTGGAATAATGTCCAGTGTGGGAGAAAGAACCCTTGACTGTTTAAAGCAAGTCTGGATGTTGCAGTTAGCAAGCTTGAATCGTACTGAGGAGCCATGAAGATTGCAAAGTCAATCAGTGAGGGTATCTGCATAGAGGTAGCCTGGCTGTTGTTGCCTGGAGGCACCCTGTTTGGGAGGTGTTGTGTTCATTAATCATTGTCTTGATTCTGTTGTGTTCATTTTCATGTTTTTTCTCCTTGTTATTATCAATGCTAATTCAAGCCTGCTAATTGCAACTTTTACGCTTGCTTCAGTTTATAATTAAGGGCCAGCGAACCCCTCCCAAGCAGAGTGTGCCTCCAGACAGAAACAGCCAGGCTACCTCTATGCAGATACCATCATTGATTGACTTTTCAGCTTCATGGCTACACAAATACCAATTGCAACATTTACACTTGCCTCAAACAGACAAGGGTTCTATCTCCTACCCTGAATATTATTCCGCAGATATGTATGTATGTATGTATGTATGTGTGTGTCTAAGTATGTGTATGTATATGTGTGTTTGTGTGTGTGTGCATATATATATATATATGTATGTATGCGTGTGTGTTTATATATATATACATACATACATATATATATACACACACACATACAAACACACACACACACCCACATATCTGCGGAATAATATTTAGCGTGGGAGAAAGAACCCTTGTCTATTTAAGCATGTGTATGTATGTGTGTGTGTGTAAGTATGTGTAAGTATATGTGTGTTTGTGTGTGTGTGTGTTTACACACACATACACACACACACACACATCTGCAGAATAATATTCAGGGTGGGAGAAAGAACGCTTGTCTATTTAAGTATGTTTATGTATGTGTGTGCGTGTATATATATATATATGTGTGTGTGTGTGTATATATATATATATACACACACACCCACATATCTGAGGAATATTATTCAGGGTGGGAGAAAGAACTCGTGTCTATTTAAGTATGTGTATGTATGTGTGTGTATACACACACACACACACACATACACACACACACACTCCACTTGCCTCACTTCCAACAGACTTCTGAAGATGCCATTAGCCATAGATGCAGGTGAAATGCCAGGAGAGAATGCTACTCGAACATGGCCATATAGCTTGGAGACCTCACAGCAACCCAGTGATTCCAGCCACGAATGCTATTGACAACACAGCGCTCATTCATTTTGATCATGAACTCCAAAGAGCTTGGAGATCGGAAATGATGCAAGTGCAAAACATCTGGAAGCATCCAAGTTATGGAAGGCGGATTTAGGCGACTTCCTCACACGGTATGTTGAGCGCCATTTGGGGCTTTGGACTCACTTCTTGCTTGAGAGAGGAAGCGGGGAGCCTTAATGCTTCACGGAGGAGCGTATACATGCCGGAGATGAGGACGGCAAGCTGCTCGTCGGAGAGGCCCGTGCTCTCGGCAATCGTCCTGACCGACTCCTTGCAGTCTTTCCCTTCCAAGGCACTCACTGTGACTGTTGAGCAAGAAAAAGGGGAAATATCAGGAGAAGGCACAACATACTAGAAAGGATGCAATTGCAAAAGAGGAAGACTGCATTGCATGGATCTCCAGTGTGTGGAAAAATACCATTCTAATGCACATGTGTTCACAGTTAAGTCATTTCCTGTGATCCCTGGAATGGGAATGGCAGATAATATTAGGCTTGGGCGAACAAGAAAAAAATTGGTTCCAAACTCGTTTTGTTTCTAGGGTGCGCTAGCGTTTCGAAATTCTGAGGACTTCCGAAATTTAAGATTTCAAAATTTCCGAAATTTCGTAAATTACGAATCGATTCGTTAATGGCGGACGCGATTGCGCAATATGCTAAAAAAACCTCCAAATGGGACAGGGGGAACTTCTGAAGCTTCCCTCTCCCTCTGTTGTTGACTGTTGGTGTGATAAAACAAACAACAACTATATTATATTATATTATATTATTATTATATTATTGTATATTATATTACAATATATTATAGTATAATATACAATTATAATATAATATATATAATATATATATATTATAATATAATATATATAATATATATATTATATAATATATATATATATATATAAATATATAATTATTTATATATTATAAAATATTTATTTTGTTTAATATATATTAAAGGTAAAGGTTTACCCCTGACATTAAGTCCAGTCATGTCTGACTCTGGGGTGTGGTGCTCATCTCCATTTCTAAGCCGAAGAGCCAGCGTTGTCCGTAGACACCTCCAAGGTCATGTGGCCGGCATGACTGCATGGAGCGCCGTTACCTTCCCGCCGGCGCGGTACCTATTGATCTACTCACATTTGCATGTTTTCGAACTGCTAGGTTGGCAGAAGCTAGGGCTGACAGCGGAAGCTCACGCCGTTCCCCGGAATCGAACCTGCGACCTTTCGATCAACAAGCTCAGCAGCTCAGTGCTTTAACCCACTGCGCCACCGGGGGCTCCTATATTATATTATATTATATTATATTATATTATATTATATTATATTATATACTAGCTGTCCCTGGCAACGCATTGCTGTGGCATAGAGTGAGGGTATGAAAAATAAAGTAATGAGAAATTTTGGGTTAATTACGAAATAATTACGAAAATTGGAAAAAAATTGTTTCGATTCTTAATTACTCCTCACACTATTCCTGCATGGCTCGATATTGGATCGTAAGCTAATTTAAATACGAATCAATAACGAATTACGAAATTAACGAACTGGATCGCCCAAGCCTAGCAGATATGTGTACATAGCAATCTAGATATGTGTGCTTCCTCTTTGCCATGTACTTGCTCTCTGTGCATCTATAATCCACCATCCGTCCTCATCATGTGAGTGTTATATGCAACAGCAACTGAAGAATAAACCTCTAAAGAAGTCTGGATGAAAGCCTGAGCTCAAGTGTGTTTATTCAAGCTGGTGAGCTGCTATACAAGGTCAAAGGCTGTGCTACGAAATCTCTGCTAACCATGACCAAGACTCTGCGGTGTTTTGGATTGGAACTAATTGCTTGCCTTTGAAACAGTCCGTCCCATTGTGAAGCTGGAGGAGGCCATGATAGGATTCAATTAATGTGCCTGCTTGGCAAGGGTGTTGTGTGTATTTACTCTTCTAACCCTGCAACAAAACGCACAACACATTCATACGGCTGCTCTTAAACTGTGTTTTTAATACTGTATTTTATAGAAATACATTTTAATATGTATCTTTTATCAAACTAAATCATAACCAATACATTATATAAGCTAACATTAAACATCATTGGGATTAAAAAATATGTAAGATACACAATGCACATAGAATATAAATATTTTTATTGGACAAAGTATAAAACTAGCCAACATTTGCAACAATTTTTCATACTTTGAACCAAACATTCTTATTGATAGAAAGTATTTTAAATAGTTGCCAATGCTAGCAAGTGGATTGCTTTCTGTCCGTCTTCCAGTTACATTGCAGAGCAAACAAATGGATGTGATACATACGATAACAATAAGATGTTTGCGAGAACGACTTCCTTTATTGTCATTGGGAGAGAAGGACAACACAGTATCTTTCATTGTGGGTCTTGGAAAGTGTCAAATATTTCACAGATCTGTGCTTTTCAGAACTAAGACTGCAATCCTATAACCCTCCTTTAAAGCCTTTAATATTAAATATATACATAGTATAATTTAATAGTTCTATCTATCTATCTATCTATCTATCTATCAAAATTTTCTGTTGGTCATGGGGGTTCTATGTGGGAAGTTTGGCCCAGTTCTCTCATTGGTGGGGTTCAGAATGCTCTTTGATTGTAGTGAACTATAAATCCCAGCAACTACTACTCCCAAATGTCAAGGTCTATTTTCCCCAAACTCCACCAGTGTTCACATTTGGACATATTGAGTATTCAAGCCAAGTTTGGTCCACATCCATCATGGTTTGAGTCCACAGTTCGCTCTGGATGTAGGTGAACTATAAATCTCAGAAATTACAACTTCAAAGGTCAAGGTCTGTTTCAGTATTTTCTGTTGGTCATGGGAGTTCTGTGTGCCAAGTTTGGTTCCATTCCATTGTTGGTGGAGTTCAGAATGCTCTTTGATTGTAGGTGAACTATAAATCCCAGCAACTACAACTCCCAAAAAGCATGGCTAACAACAAGGCAGCAAGAGCATATTGGATATTTGTGCCAAATTTGGTCCAGTGAATGAAAATACATCCTGAATATCAGATATTTACATTGCAATTCATCACAGTAGCAAAATTACAGTTATGAAGTAGCAATGAAAATAATGTTGTGGTTGGGGGTCATCACAACATGAGGAACTATACTAAGGGGTCGCGGCATTAGAAAGGTTGAGAACCACTGATCTATCTATCTATCTATCTATCTATCTATCTATCTATCTATCTATCTATCTATCTATAATATTGTAAATATAACATAATGAATGTTTTAATACTCACAATATATAATATATATTAATATATTATTTTATATATTCAAACCTATGATATATTATATAATAGATTATATATATAATAAAGTCAATAATACAATATATTATATTACACATAATATATTAAAACTTTTAATATATATATATATATAATGAATATATTAGTACGTACAATATATTATATATATATTAATATATAATGTAACATAATCTATTCAAACCTATGATATATTATATTATAGATTATATATAATAAAGCCAATAATACAATATATTATATTACATATAATATATTAAAACTTTTAATATATATATAATATATATAATATATTAATATGTACAATATATCATATTATATAAATATATAATGTAACATAATCTATTCAAACCTATGACATATTACATTATAGATTATATATAATAAAGCCAATAATACAATATATTATATTACATATAATATATTAAAACTTTTAATATACAGTATATTCTGGCGTATAAGACTACTTTTTAACCCAAGAAAATCTTCTCAAAAGTCAGGGGTCGTCTTATATGCGGGTGTAGTCTTATGCATGGCTGTTGTCTTAACTCTATATTTTAACTGGAAAAGTTGGGAGTCGTCTTATACCCCCAGTCGTCTTATATGCCGGAATATACGGTATATATAATATATGTACAATATATGATATTATATATATATTAATATATAATGTAACAATCTATTCAAACCTATGATATATTATATCATATATATGGAATATATTAAAACCCCATATATATATATATATATATATATATCCTATAATATAATACAATATTGTTGATACACGCCTATGTGGTGCACCCTCTTCTGCTCACTTAAGGCTCAATGCAATGAATGCATTTTGAGCCCACTTGGAACTGCCCTGGCTCAGTGCTATGTATGGGATGATGGGAGTTGTAGTTTGGCAGAGAAGGATGATACCCTGGTGCAACTACAACTCCCAGGACCCAATAGCATGCAACCATTGCAGTTCAAGCGGTGCCAAACTGCATTAACTCTGCAGTGCAGATGCAACAGTGTGTGTGTGTGTGCATTGTGCTTACCTTTGAGGATCTTCCGGAAGGTCTCTTTGCTCACTTCTCGTAGGCTTCTAGCCATGGCTTCCACTTCGGGGGGCAACCGGGACCCTAAGAAACTGACCCTGCTGCTGCTGTTGTTTGCATTGCTTTCTAGGGAGAGCCCTGCCTTGACCAGTGCAGCCATGGCGGCTGAGTGAAAAAGGAAATCAAGAAAAAACAGCAATGAAAATGCAAAAAAATAAATAAAGCCTGTTTGCAAAAAAAATCTCCCAGGGCTGCTTCCGGATTCCCGGGGAATGTTCTTTTGCTTGCTCTCGCGCGGCCCCTGCTGGATGGATCAGGGAATGCAAGCAAACAAGGGGCGCAGTTGGAGCTCCTTGCCTGTAGGTGTCGCTGTGGGGCTGCTTCCGGATTCCCGGGGAATGTTCTCTTGCTTGCTCTCGCGCGGCCCCTGCTGGATGGATTTATTTATTTATCGTGTCATCAGCAACCACACCATTGTGTTACAATTCTAACAGAACAAAACAAACACACAGATTTAAAAGAAAAAGAAAAAAAACACACAGATTTTGCAAACTTGGTAGTTGGTTAAATGTCCTTTGACCAGTCTCTGGCCCCTTGGAGTGCCTCTGGGGTTGCCGCAAGGAGGTCCTCCCTTGTGCATCATGTGACAGGGCTCAGGTTGCATTGCAGCAGGTGGTCAGTGGTTTGCTCTTCTCCACCCTCGCATGTCGCGGACTCCACTTTGTGGCTCCATTTCTGAAGGTTGGCTCTGCATCTTGTGGTGCCAGAGCGCAATCTGTTCAGCGCCTTCCAAGTCGCCCAGTCTTCTGAGTGCCCAGGGGGGAGTCTCTCATCTGGTATCACCCATGAATTGAGGTGCTGGGTTTGGGCCTGCCACTTTGGACTCTCGCTTGCTGGGGTGTTCCAGCGAGTGTCTCTGTAGATCTAAGAAAACTATGTCTTGATTTAAGTCGTTGACGTGCTGGCTGATACCCAAACAGGGATGAGCTGGAGATGTCTCTGCCTTGGTCCTTTCACTATTGGCTGCTACTTCCCGGCGGATGTCAGGTGGTGCAATACCGGCTAAGCAGTGTAATTTCTCCAGTGGTGTGGGGTGCAGACACCCTGTGATAATGCGGCATGTCCCATTAAGAGCCACATCTACTGTTTTAGTGTGGTGAGATGTGTTCCACACTGGGCATGCGTACTCAGCAGCAGAGTAGCATAGCGCAAGGGCAGATGTCTTCACTGTGTCTGGTTGTGATCCCCAGGTTGTGCCAGTCAGCTTTCGTATGATATTGTTTCTAGCACCCACTTTTTTGATGTTCAGGCAGTGCTTCTTGTAGGTCAGAGCACGGTCCAGAGTGACTCCCAGGTATTTGGGTGCCTGCAATGCTCCAGTGGGATTCCTTCCCAGGTATCCTCAGAGCTCGGGATGCTTGTCTGTTCTTAAGGTGAAAGGCACATGTCTGTGTTTTAGATGGATTAGGGATCAGCTGGTTTTCCCTGTAATAGGCAGTAAGGGCACCTAGAGCTTCGGAGAGCTTCTGTTCAACCATCTCAAAGCTCCCTGCTTGAGCAGTAATGGCACAATCATCTGCATAGATGAAGCTCTCTGTCCCTTCTGGCAGTGGCTGGTCATTTGTGTAGATGTTGAACATGGATGGAGCAAGCACGCTCCCCTGAGGCAGGCCGTTCTTCTGTTTCCGCCATCTGCTTCTCTGGCCCTGGAACTCAACAAAAAAGCTCCTGTTTTGTAGCAGGTTTCCTATGAGGCGGGTGAGGTGGTGGTCCTTTGTGATATTATACATTTTTCTCAGGAGGAGGCAACGGTGGTTCACAGGTCTATAAAGACAGCTCCTGTGACCTGCTGCCTTTCAAAGCCATCTTCTATGTGCTGGATGGATGAGGAAACGCAAGCAAACAAGGGGCGCAGTTCGGGCTCCTTGCCTGTAGGTGTCGCTGTGGGGAAGGAGGCGAAAGGCGCTTTCCCCAAGGAAGCGGAAGCGCGGTGACGTACTTCCTTCGGCCCGGCCGGCGCCTGAGTGTTGTGTCATGGCGGCCGGCTGAGGAGGGGCTGTTTCTCCCTCTGTCTCTCTCTGTCTCTGTCTCTGGGCTTCTCTTCGCGGCCATGTCGGCGGTGGGCGAGGAGGCGCAGAAGTGGTCCTTGGCGGGCGAGGAGCCGCGCTTCTCCACGCCCACGCCGCCGCCCTCGCGCCTCGGGCTGGGCCTGGGCCTGGGCTGCAGCGCCGAGGAAGGCCCCGCCGGGCTGGACTTCGTCAGCGACTTCGGCTGCCACCTCTCCTCCTCCTCCTCCTGCCACCGCACAGACCCGCTCCGGCGCCTCCACGGGCACCGGTACGAGACTCAGGAAAGGGCCAGGCTCCGGGCAGGGGAGCAGGCCTCGCTCACACTGGGATTGCCTCTCTACTCCAGGCCTGGGCCAAACTGGGGCCTCCCACCCTCCCTCCCTCCGGGTGGTTTGGACTCCAATTCCCACCATTCCTAACAGCCCCAGGCCCCTGCCTTTCCCCCCTCAGCCACTTAAGCAGGAACAGCTCAGCAAGCAAGAATCCAAAAGTGGCAGGCAAACTTGGACCCTCCTTCCCTCTGGGTGGTTTGGACTCCAACCCCCACCATTCCCAAGAGTCCCAAAGTGGCAGACAAACTTGGGCCCGCCCTCCGGGTGGTTTGGACTCTAACTCCCACCATTCCTAACAGTCTCAGGCCTGTTAAGCAAGAGTCCAAAAGTGATAGGCAAATTTGGACCCTCCCTCCCTCCCTCTGGGTGGTTTGGACTCCAACCCCCACCATTCCCAAGAGTCCAAAAGTGGCAGGCAAACTTGGGCCCTTCCTCCCTCCGGGTGGTTTGGACTCCAAACCCCACCATTCCTAGTAGTCCCAGGCCCCTTCCTTTCCCCCCTCAGCGACTTAAGGAGGAACACCTCAGCAAGCAAAAATCCAAAAGTGGCAGGCAAACTTGGGCCCTCCCTCCAGGTGTTTTGGGCTCCAACTTCCACCATTCCTAACAGTCTCAGGCCTGTTAAGCAGGAATACCTCAGCAAGCAAGAGTCCAAAAGTGGCAGGCAAACTTGGGCCCTCCCTCCAGGTGTTTTGGACTCCAACTCCCACCATTCCTAACAGCCCCAGGCCCCTTTCGTTTCCCCCTCAGCCACTTAAGCAGGAACAACTCAGCAAGCAAGAGTCCAAAAGTGGCAGGCAAACTTGGGCCCTCCCTCCCTCCCTCTGTGTGTTTGGACTCCAACTCCCACCATTCCTAACAGCCCCAGGCCCCTTCCTTTTCCCCCTCAGCCACTTAAGCAGGGCCACCTCAGCAAGCAAGAGTCCAAAAGTGGCAGGCAAACTTGGGCCCTCCCTCCGGGTGGTTTGGACTCCAACTCCCACCATTCCTAACAGCCCCAGGCCCCTGCCTTTCCCCCCTCAGCCACTTAAGCAGGGACTCCTCAGCAAGCAAGAGGCCAAAAGTGGCAGGCAAACTTGGGGCCTCACTCACACTGGGATTGCCTCTCTATTCCAGGCCTGGGCCAAATTGGGCACTCACACCCTCCCTCCGGGTGGTTTGGACTCCCAACTCCCACCATTCCTAACAGCTCCAGGCCCCTGCCTTTTCCCCCTCAGCCACTTAAGCAGGGACACCTCAGCAAGCAAGACTCCAAAAGTGGCAGGCTAAAACCCCCAAAAGGAAGGGGCTTGAGGCTGTGAGGAATGGTGGGAGTTGGAGTCCAAAACACCTGGAGGGAGGGCCCAAGTTTGCCCATGCCTGGACTAGTCCTTCCCCCCAAATCCCTGATAGTTCCAGTGATCTAGGCTCTGGGTTTGCAAAACCACAGCATGGCTGTTGGGAACAATGTGTTAGGTAGAAAAATAATGTATTAGGGTTAGGTTTATTGTTTATTATTATCATACTATTCATCATACTATTACTATCATCGTAATCATCATTATTATTGACATTATTTTAATGTAGGATTTGAATGTTTGAACCATTTGGAGCCCAGGTTGTTGTTGTTATAATCATCATTACCATTATTATTGTTTTATCATCATCATATTATAATTATTATTGACATTATTTTAATTTAGGATTATATGAGTGTTTGAGCTATTTGGGGCCCAAGTTGTTGTTGTAATCATTACCATTATTATTGTTTTATTATTATCATCACATTATCATCATCATCATCATTGACATTATTTTAATGTAGGATTGTATGTGTGTTTCAGCTGTTTGGGGCCCAAGTTATTACTAGTATTATTATTATTATATTAGCAGCAGCATCATTTCAATACAGGATTATATGGGTGTTTCAGCTGTTTGGGCCCCATGTTATTACTAGTATTATCATTCTTATTAGCATCATCATCATTTGAATATAGGTGTATATCGGTGTTTGAACTGTTCATGAAATGCAATAAATATTTAAAACTATGCTGAAGAGTAAAACGCTCGTACAATTCATGATACGTCTGCATATAAGTGCTCAGTAAAAGTTTTCTCCCCCAATATCCCTTGAAATCAAACTCTGTTGCTCCCTGAAACTGGCTGGAGCTATGGGTCACTTAGGGGACAATTAAATATAGTCCTAACTGATTTGTGAAATACCTTGAAGCGGTTAGCCAGACATTTAAAGCTCAATGAGTGACTGTTGCACTGATGTGTTCTTCAGTCCACTTTGTGGGAAGTGTTTTCAGGGAATGCAGATGCCTGGAGACTACTTGAGTGTTCATGATGAGCACAAAAGACTTAAGCAGATAGTTCTGAACAGCTATTCACTGTTGATGGTTGCCTGGCCTAGCTTTTAATTCCAGACAAATTAGCTATCTTTAGGCAGAAGCGTTAGGTGTTCCCCAAGGACTGAGGTTAACAGTGGCAGCTATTTCATTCTGTTTTGCAGGTGGAACTTGACCTCGTGCGGCACAAGTGTCGCAAGTTCCGAATGCAGCGAAGAACTTTTTTCTTCCGTTTCGGTCGGTGACCAGGACGATTGTTTCTCCTTGTTGGACGACCAGGAATTGACGTCTTTTGACTTGTTCCCAGAGGGGAGTGTCTGCAGCGATGTCTCTTCCTCTATCAGCACGTATTGGGACTGGTCAGACAGCGAGTTTGAATGGCAGGTAAAAATCCTTACGCACTTCAAATAAGGGGAAGGATTTTGGGATGCCTTTCTAAAGATGAGCTGTTAGAATTCAGATAATTGGATTGGGTAAAAAATCCTCTCCAACAGCACACTTAGAGCAGTGCAGGACTATAATTAAAGAAAGACTGGACATGCGTATTACTTTTATACAGCAAAAATGGAGACAATTTTCAGTCATGGGTTTTTTGCTATAGAAGAGACTTGTTAAAAGTAGGAAAGTGGAAATGAAGTGATTTTTTTTGTCATGTCAGGAGCGACTTGAGAAACTGCAAGTTGCTTCTGGTGTGAGGAAATTGGCCGTCTGCAAGGACGTTGCCCAGGGGATGCCCGGATGATTTGATGTTTTTATCATCCTTGTGGGAGGCTTCTCTCATGTCCCCACATGAGGAGCTGGAGCTGATAGAGGGAGCTCATCCGCCTCTCCCTGGATTCGAACCTGCGACTTGTCGGTCTTCAGTCCCGCCGGCACAGGGGTTTAACCCACTGCGCCACCAGGGGCTCGAAATGAAATGATATATGAAGGGACTAACAAATAAGATGTGAAAAATCAACAGACAACGAGCAATAAGCTCATAGATTAGTTAGTAGGTGTTTGTTTAGAATGAGTATAGGTAATATGTTGTAGATATAGGTGTGTTAGTTTTGCGTCTCCTTGTGGGGAGAAAAAGTGGAGTATAAACAACAATAATAGTGATTTACCTTTGTATATAATGAAAATAGTTTTTTTATAGACAGTTTTAATTTTATTTTGTGTTTTTGTATTTTACAAGTATGTTTTTTTTTAATAAATACACAAGGGAGATTGCCATACTATAATTGTTACCTTATAAATAACACTGGTTTGGCTTTCTTTCATTACAGTTTACCTGGAAGTGTTCCAGATTATTTTTGTAGTTTGTAACACTTCTGCATTGATCTTTCTTTCTGCCTTGAGTTGCCTTTGGGCTGATAAAGGTGGTATACAAATATGGTAAATAAATAAATTTTCCTAGATGATCAAAATCTTGTTGGTTTTTTTTGTTTTGTTTCATTTTTTAGCATTTTAGATTTTTTTATTATTATTATCATTTGGATTTTATTTCATTTGCTACAGCATATGTAATCATATTTTGGTAAATCAAATGGTCCATTCTCTGATCTTAAATTCATTTTAGAAATACCAGGATTTAAATTCATTTTATTGTGTGTGTGTGTTTTAATTGCTCAATGCTAGAGAAGATATAGAATCGGTGACAGCTTAGTAAATCAGCACCTATGTAAATCCCATTAATTCTGCTTTAATTAGAATTTGATTTCACCTTTCGATTCAATTGGTGCCTTGTTGAGATGCTTTATTCTGAAATCTGATTTCCTTTTCTTCTCTGCCATTATCAGTTGCCTGGCAGTGATATTGCAAGTGGTAGTGACGTTCTTTCCGACATCATACCCAGCATCCCAAGCTCTCCTTGCCTGCTTCCAAAAAAGAAAAACAAACACAGGAATCTTGATGAGCTCCCATGGAGTGCAATGACTAACGATGAACAGGTAAAACTTTGCAGGTGCAGGATAGAGGAGCCTGCTTCCTTGCAAACCTTCATCCTTATCTCTTTCTAGGAAACATTTACTCTAGATTGTCATCTGCCAATCAGGGCAAGTAACAAGAATTATGGCCAACCATAACATAACAGAAAATTAAGAATTCAGACCCATACCTAATATTATTGTTGCCTGCCATAGCATTGCACTTAATTCCCGGGCCCCCTAAAATTTTTGGGCTTGCACAAATCTTGGCCCGGCCTTTTGCATTTTTAATTGCCTTGAACAGGCAGGATTACTTTTAATATATGTGTGTTATGGCGACAATTTTTATGCTTATATTTTGTTTGTTAATCTTATGGTTATGTTGTTTTTACTCTGTATGTTTTGCGATATTACTTGGGAACCACTCTTGAGTCCCCTCGGGAAGCGGTATATAAATAAAGTTCTATTTTATTATTATTATTATAAGAGAAAGGAGTCAAGTGAGCCTCCTGAAGCAAAAAATTGTCCCGATTTAGATGCTTTTGCAATGAAGCCTCTTTCTCATTTCTCTTTTGTTGGAGCATCCTCTACAGTTAGATGGGATTTTTTGTTACTGTGGATTCCTAGAAAGGAATTTAAATACCTTTTATAGGATTTCTTATGACGCCGTTCAAGGCATCGTACATTGAGGAGGGACTAAAATCATTTACACCCACTTCTTCATCAATTGTGTCAATATATATAAAATAGAAAATGTTACTTTTTAATTTCTGTGTTTATTCACATTTTTTTTGTACACACAGAGAGAAACACTGTATAACTAACCAATGGCCTATATACTATATGCAATGCTAACTAGCCTTTTTCTTTTAGGTTGAATATATTGAATATCTGAGTCGTAAAGTCAGCACAGAGATGGGGCTTCGAGAGCAGCTGGATATTATTAAAATCATTGATCCCACTGCTCAGATTTCTCCTACGGACAACGAGTTTATTATCGAACTCAATTGCCTGACTGATGAAAAACTGAAACAGGTAGGTTAAACTTCAGATGTATTTTTAAAGTCAAATGTTGGTTTTCTTGAACTGTAATAGTGCTGAATGCACTTATAAATACATTGTTATTCCAAGATACTGCAAAGTAGTTTTGGTTTCTTTCATGGCATATGTCTGGGAGATTGAAGTGCAAGCTAGAGTCGAGCATGTGATTTGGTCTAATATTGGGGAAGAATTTTTAAAACATTAGCCTCATTAGAACAACAAAACAGGACTCTTAATAGAACTATGTAACAAAATTTGGTTTTTTTTCTGCTCCTGATTTGAAAGTATTATTTCATGTTATTGTGCAGTACTCACTTTGAAAGTAGTTGTTCTCCTCCAGAAACTTCATTTTTGTGGCTGCCACAGACTATATTGAATTGGTTGAGACATGAATTGGTTGAGATACTAGATGTCCCGTGCCACACGTTGCTGTGGCCCAGTCTGTGTAGATGTTTTTTGTGTGTGTATATATTTGTGTATATATGTGGTTTTGTGCATGTGTTGTAATGTATTTTTTGTTTTTGGCTTTTTAAGTCTCTTCTGCTGTGTTTTTCCATATTTTTGTGAGTGATGGTCACTCGTGGGCCTGATCGGTCTTGTGTCCAAATTTGGTGTCAATTCGTCCAGTGGTTTTTGAGTTACGTTAATCCCACAAACGAACATTACATTTTTATTTATATAGACTAGCCATCCCCTGGCACACGTTGCTGTGGCCCAGTCTGTGTAGATGTGTTTTGTGTGTGTGTATATGTATGTATATATTTGTGTATATGTGTGTTTGCGTATAAATATGTGGTTTTGTGCACCACGCGTTGCTGTGGCCTAATCTGTGTATATGTGTTTTGTGTGTATTTGTGTGTGTATATATTTGTGTATATGTGTGTTTGTGTATATATGTGTGTGTGTGTGTGTGTGGTTTTGCATATGGGTTGTAATGTAATTTTTGGTTTTTGGCCTTTTAATTCTCTTCTGCTGTGTTTTCCAGTGTTTTATGAGTGATGGTCACTTGTTGGCCTGATACGTGTCTTGTGTCCAAATTTGGTGTCAATTCATCCAGTGGTTTTTGAGTTACGTTAATCCCACAAACAAACAAACATTACATTTTTATTTATATAGATTTAAAACTATAGCAAAATGTGCTTCAGGATGTTCGTCTTGCAAAAACCAAAGTTTTTGTAGTTTAATAAACTTTCCCCATGTTTTAATGCTAGATCCAATTAGGAAATGACATTTGTAGTCCAGGAACAAACATCGTTCTACATCATCAGGCTTGATGTTTAGGGGATTTTATCTCATAACTTTTTTCTTGCGGATAGAACTGTTAGATTTGGGAATGTATTATAGCAAAATTCTCCAGTTACCTTTTTTTTTTTTTGGAACCAATTAAAGCACATAATGAAGGGAATCCCGTGTAAAGTATGCTACAGATTCGGTTTTCCACAAACCATTATCCCGATTTTCAAACCTTTGATGTTGCTCTTCTTCCACTCCGTCTCCTCTTGCTCAGGTCCGGAATTACATCAAGGAGCATGGCCCTCGGCAGCGGTCAGCGCGGGAGAACTGGAAGCGGAGCGGCTACAGCTGCGGGAGTGCCAGCGGGGTCAGCGGGGCCAGCGCCAGCAGCAGCAGCGCCAGCATGGTCAGCTCCGCCAGCAGCAGCGGTGGCTCTAGCGCAGGCCACTCAGGCTCCAACTCCAGCGCCAACATGAGCCGGGCCCACAGCGACAGCAACCTCTCCGCCAGCGCCGCCGAACGCATCCGGGATTCAAAAGTAAATGCTTCTCCCTCTGTGATCATAAGCATACACATCCCGCTAGTATTGATTTTTAATTTTCTTTCAAATCTCCAAATCAGTATTCCTTCAGTTTAATAATAATAATTTATTTACTTACTTACTTTCTCAGCCTATCGGCGACTCATAATAATAATAATAATAATAATAATAATAATAATTATTATTATTATTATTATTATTATTTTATTTCTTGCCCACCTCTCCTCATGATTCAAAGTGAGTCACAGCACAGTCCAAACACAAGTGTTGTAAAAATTGTATAAACATATTGAAATGCAGTTCTAGAAAAGATACATATTAAAGTGTATTTCTACATATTGTGTATCACTAACATTCTTTCCCATGTGAATGATCCAAATCTAATTAGGGGGTACCAGAGATTCTTAAGTGAGGGGTTAATAAGTATTACAAAGTGTGTGTGTGTGTGTGTGTGTATACTAGCCGCCCCCTGCCACGCGTTGCTGTGGCCATCTGTGTAGATGTGTTTTGTGTGTGTATATATTTGTGTATATGTGTGTGTTTGCATATATATGTGTGTGGTTTTGCACATGCATTGTAATGTATTTTTTGTTTTTTAGCTTTTAAGTCCCTTCCGCTGTGTTTTCTAGTGTTTTTATGAGTGATGGTCACTCATTGGCCTGAGAGGTGTCTTGTGTCCAAATTTTATATCAATGCATCCGGTGTTTTTTGAGTTATGCTAATCCCACAAATGAACATTAAATTTATATATATATACTAGCCATCCCTGCCACGCGTTGCTGCAGCCAACATGGGAGTTCTGTGTGGGAGGTTTGGCCAAATTCTATTGTTGGTGGGGCTCAGAATGCTCTGTGATTGTAGGTGAACTATAAATCCAAACAACTACAACTCCCAGATGTCCAGATTCTATTTTCCCCAAACTCCACCAGTGTTCACATTTGGGCATATTGAGTATTCATTCCAAGTTTGGTCCAGATCCATCATTGTTTGAGTCCACAGTGATCTCTAGATGTAGGTGAACTACAACTCCAAAACCAAAGGACACTACCCACCAAACGCTTCCAGTATTTTCTGTTGGTCATGGGAGTTCTGTGTGCCAAGTTTGGTTCCATTCCATCGTTGGTGGGGTTCAGAATTGATTGATTGTAGGTGAACTATAAATCCCAGCAACTACAACTCCCAAATGACAAAATCAATTTTTTGAGTGAGGGACATACATTGGGTTGTTAGGTGTCTTGTGTCCAAATTTGGTGTCAATTTGTCCAGTGGTTTTTGAGTTCTGTTAATCCCACAAACGAACATTACACACACACACACATATATGGTAATAATAGTATTTTTACTCAACAAGTTCTGAAGTCTCACTCTTCTTGAAATCTCTGTGTATATGTGTGTTTATTAGTTTGCTACTAGTTTACGTTAACTGACATCTTGATTATTTTACAAACATCTATGTGTTTTACTGTATTTTGTGTGTTCCGCTGCACTACCATGTGCTTTTGTAAGCTGCTAAAGTCCCTGTGATGGGATGTAAATAAAGTTGTTGTCAGTACTGTTATTATTATTCGAGTTAAAGGCAAAGTTAAGTTTGTCCATTTTGACTATTTCTCAGACTCTTTGCACTCTATCCAAAGCCTTTCAATTTCCTTTTTATTTCGACAGAAACGTTCTAAGCAGCGCAAGCTCCAGCAAAAGGCTTTGCGGAAGAGGCAGCTGAAGGAGCAGCGGCAGGCCCGGAAGGAGCAGCTGAGCGGCTTGTTCCTCAACGAGGAAGTCCTCTCTCTCAAAGTGACTGAGGAGGACCACCAAGGAGACGTGGACGTTTTGATGTGAGAGGGAGTCTGCGGATAATCCTTGTCTGCGTTCTTTCTAAGCCTTAAAACCTATTCATATTTTTTTACGTATGTATGTCCATACGTACGCCTATTCCACACTTTCAGTCGGAGCTTGGACTCGCTGTTGCGTATCTCCTACATCGCTCTTTTTTTTTTGGTTAATGTTGAAAAGAATGGCTTATTTTCCCCAAGTGAGATAAGAATTCGATAGGGTATTCTTTTTAAAAAATCTATCTAGGCTAATCTATTTTGTTTTCAAACATTTGCATATTCTGTTTCTGGGAACATTGTAGAATGGATATGTTTCTTGGCTCGAAAGGTCTTTGCCTCCAGCTCATTTAGGACTGTTTGCAGGAATCACTAATATCGTTTCTCGTTTGCTGTTGGGAATATATTATCCAAGCATTGTGCTGTATGGAAAGCCCTTTTGAGGTATCCTGTAGCCACCTAATGAATGCATGACTTAGGAAATGTCAGCAAAATTCCAGTATCTGCAACGCATGGTGATCTGTGGGGGTCTGTTGTCAAACAGGCACTTTTCTGCTTGTTAGGAAGTGCAAAAGCTATTTGAGAGTGTTAGTCAGTGCTGAGCCTGGAGGGAAGGTCATTGCATTATGATGTGCAACCCTGATTTAGTATAAAGGAATGGTAACAGCATGCCTAGTAAAAAAAAAAAATCCACATTTTTCTCCCTGTGTGTATATGTTCTTGTGTTAACCTCTTTCCCGTAGTTTCATGGTGCCTTAACATTATTTGAGATGTTTAAATGGTGAGAAAGAAGTGATTAAAAGGAAAAGAAAGCAGATCCTTCACAAAAATGCTTATTATATTAACCCATTCACCTTTTGGAAATAGAAAAAAACAACAACAACTAGCTGCCATCTTATGATTTCCAAGTTATGATTAAATACAACATAAAATACACCATTAAAATCCTACATAAATCATTAAAATGCTTCATATGTCAATAATGTGATACACCCTTAAAATACTCCATAAGATACTGCATGGACTAGCACCTGCATAATTAAAAACCAGGTAAAACCAAGTAAATTCAGCATTATTAAAACTTCAGCAGGGAATACATTGGATATAAACAGCCACTATTAGTTAAAAGCATCCCGAGAACGGTCGACTGCAAAATCAGAAATTAGGATTTTCTGTGCTGCCAGGGCAAAAAGAGACACTTTGGGAGTAACCACAGGGTTAGTGTCAGCCAAGAAGTAGACAATCTTTTCTGACACTGGTTTTGTTTGGAGGAGATAAAGAAAGAGGCCCCAGGATTTTAGTTCTTGAGAACAGAGAGGGAGGCAAATCCTCAATTTCCGGGGCCCCGCAAACACATAAACAAAGAGTTGTGAAGACTTGCCTAATTTTTGGAAATGTGAGCTTAGTCAGGTGGATAGCCCTATCGTGGTCAAGATTGTCCAGACTGAACCAGTGGGAAAATTTGGAGTCATTCACAGCCTGCCCTCTTGGTGTTTTGGACTTCAACTCCCACAATTCCTAACAGCCTCGGGTCCCTTCCTTTTCACCCTCGGCAGCCTCAGGCCCTTTCCTTTCCCCCCTCAACCACTTAAGTGGCTGAGAAGGAAAAGGAAGGGACCTGATGCTGTTAGGAATTGTGGGAGTTGAAGTCCAAAACATCAAGAGGGAGGGAGGGCCCAAGTTGGCCCATGCCTGTTCTAGAAACTCTTTTTCAACCAGCTGCAAACCGAAGTCAAGGATGTTACACTCCAATTCTTTGTATTTATAAGAGCATCATCCTGACATTTTAAAAAATGTTTTCTTTGGTGTTTATTATTATTTTTCTACATGACGATCAAAGAAAATCTGTAAAGTTTTCCAGAAAATAATAATAATATCTCTATCATAAAATTGTATATGTATATATAGGAATGTAAAATCCTTATAAAGCCTGGTGAACAGTAGTTGTAGAAAATCTTAGAGCGCATTATTTGGTATGAACAACAACAATAACAAGTCTATTTACTCATATCTTCCTCCCTTTGGGCAGAGCGATAGTTGAAATACTCGCTAACCCCATTAATGGCCTTATGGCTGTCACGTCAACACGACTTTGGAAGCATTGGTTGCATTCTTTGTTGTACTTTGCACAAAATTTTGGACAAAATTCCTAGAAACGATGCAGGCCGTGAACGTGACTTGAGTTCTGGCCATTGTATTGGCCTGGAACACATGACGCAGAAAGAAGAGAAATGCGTGTTTCAAATAGGTTTGCGACGTAGTTGTGAATTGCTTCGTAACAGCCAGTGTTACCGGCGTCCTAAAGATGACATATTTCTTAACCAAAGCAAAATAGGAGAATATAATTCAGATGGTCTAAAAAAGATATAGATATATATATAGATATATATATATATATTAAATCTGGACTGTTTTTCCAGAATTTCTGCTAAAGAAATGTATGCTGAAATGCAGTTGTAAATTCAACTGTTTACTGTACATTCTGTATCTACTTGCTATAATGTTAATAGAATATTCCCCATTTTTTCTTTCTCTTTTGATGTTGTGAAGGATTTAACACATTGTTATAAAATATTGGCAAACATCTTACTCCCCCCCCCCCCAAGCTCTAATTGTATATGAAGATAGTCACACAAATATGGTAGTTTGGGATGGCATTAAAAACGAGGCAAACCTAATGCAACTGGTTGTGTGTGGTGTCATGTTTGGAAAGGATCTTGCACAGTGGATTAAGGTGGTTGGTGTATGTTGTGCTTTCCTGAGTTATTTATTTGTTTGTTTACAGTATGTATATTCCGCCCTTCTCACCCCAAAGGGGACTCGGGGCGGATCACAGAACACGTACATGGCAAACATTCACTGCTGTTAAACAGACAGGACAGACAACAGATAGAGGCATAAGTCAGCATTTTTCCTAACTTCGGCATCCTGAAGGTTGTGCTTGATTCTGGCCACAGGAAGGTGCTGTCGCTCCATACTTCTGCCTCTCTTTGATCGCTGGCATTTTCTGATATTTCCTTTTTATGGTGCTGTAAAATACCTCCCAGCTTTAAGTGGTGCCTAATTTCTCTACTCACCGCTGTTTTGGAATGGCTTAGGTGGACAGTGAGCTGGGCTGAAGGTTGGGTGCTTATCCCGATCTGGGCTTCGAACTGCCAACCTTTTGATTGGTGTGATCTTATAGCTGCTAGAGATTAACCAGTTGTGCTGAAATGCAGCCACATATTTATCTACTAAACAGTACCTATTTATCTACTGACGTTGTTGTTTTCAAAACAGCTAGGTAAGCAGAAGCTGGGCTAAAGGCCAGGAGTTCACCCTGACCTGGGCTTCGAACTGCAAACCTTTCAATTGGTGTGATCTATTGCTGCTGGAGATTAACCAGCTGTGCTGAAGCCTGGCCACCTATTTATCTACTGAATGATATCTATCGTTAAGATCGTCCGGGGAGGCCCTGCTCTCGGTCCCGCCGGCATCACAGGTGCGGCTGGCGGGGACGAGAGACAGGGCCTTCTCGGTGGTGGCCCCTCGGCTATGGAATGCACTACCAATGGAGATCAGACAGGCCCCGTCGCTACTGGCGTTTAGGAGGCGGGTGAAGACGTGGCTCTTCGAACAGGCGTTCGGATAAGCGGGTAACTAACATCTGACTCAGAAGACGGCATACTGAACAAGGAATGGTAAATCGACTATGAGATTTGGATCTGATCCTAGTTGAGGCGTGATGACGTTATGTGTATTGTCTGTGAATGTCTGTCACTTGCATTGTTCAATGTTGTATTTTTATTGTAAACCGCTTAGAGTCGCCTTGGCTGATATAGGCGGTATACAAAAGAAGTAAATAAATAAATAAATAAATAAATAAATATTTATCTACTCATATTGCTGTTTTTGAAACTGCTAGGTGGACAGAAGCTGGGCTAAAGGCCAGGAGTTCACCCTGACCTGGGCTTTCAAACTGCCAACCTTTCAGCTGGTGTGATCTATTGTTGCTGGAAATTAACTAGCTGTGCCAAAGACTGGCCACCTATTTATCTACTGAGCAATACCTATTTATCTACTCACATTGCTGTTTTTGAAACTGCTAGGTGGGCAGAAGCTGAGCTAAAGGCCAGGAGTTCACCCTGACCTGGGCTTCGAACTGCAAACCTTTCGATTGGTGTGATCTTATAGCTGCTAGAGATTAACCAGTGTGATCTATTGTTGCTGGAGATTAACTAGCTGTGCTGAAACCCGACTACCTATTTATCTCTTGAGCGGTACCTATTTATCTACCCACATTGCTGTTTTTGAAAATGCTAGGTAGGCAGAAGCTGGGCTAAAGGCCAGGAGCTCACCCTGACCGGGGCTTTGAACTCTCAACCTTTCAACTGGCAAGATTTACTGTAGCTGGCGGTTAACCTGTTGTGCTAAAGCCCAACCTGAGTTAGATAAGCGGATCCCTGATCCTTGTTTTCCACTGTCTGAAACTGAGCCTGAAGTTTTGTCAGAGAATGGAAGAGAGGAAAGTACATGGACAAAAGCTTTGAAGCGCACACATTGAAAGCATTTACTTCTTTTCTTGCTTATGAGGACTCCCAAAGCAATGTACAACGAGACAGAAGTCAATAACCAGATGTAATAATATATCTGTAATGACATTTTTGTTCCTAGGTCATAAGCGTCATTTCCTAATTGGTTCTATATTAAAAACATGAAAAAAGTCGACTAAACTGCAAAAAGCTTTTGTTTTTATAGACATCCTACTATAGCATATTTTGCTCTAGTTTTTTTCAGTGAGTCTCAACCAGTTCAGCATAGTTTGTGCCACAAAAACAGAGAAGTTTCTGGAGTAGAACAGCTCCTTTCAAAGTCAGGACTGCACAATTAAACAGGAATTAAATAGCAATCTATTTGCTTCCTTTTAAGGGGAAGGGGGGATGCTTTGTGCCCCGCCCTCTAATGCCTTCAATCTGATCCATTCTCTGACTGATAAAGCTATTTGCCGACTGATAACGGCGGTAATTTATGGCGCTGAATGGGGCGTCGTTGCGTGTATTAAAATCCATAACGATACCCGTCTGCCTGGAAAACAAGCGCTAATGCAATCCTGGATAACGCTGGGATTCACCGATCTGTTTGCACAACAGCCTCTCGGATGAAAAGTGCCAAAACGTGTCCGAGGAGGTCATCACTTGAGCTTAATGGCACACCGATTTCCGTCCGGTTCTGACGTCGGAGGCCAACAACAACAGAACAAATGCATTAGCCCTTCCACGCGGAGCTCCGACCCTGAGCTTAGGAACATCAATGTCTGATTAATCATTTTACTTAATGGCTCCAATGTGATCGCAGCGCCGCAAAAATGCTCGGTTTGCTTGGTGGCATTAAGACCATTTATCATCTGGGAGAAGGGTCGAAAAATGTTCTGTTCCTGGTTTGGAAGTGTTATTTCCTGTTTCATTGTGCGGTCCTCACTTCGAAAGCAAGGAGGGACAAAGTTTGCCAAAGTTTTCCCATGCCTGCTCTCTCAGATAGTCATTGAAAAACCAGAGCAAAATACGCTGCAGGATATCCTTTCCCATGTTTTTTGAAATGATAGAACCAATTAGGAAATGTCATTGATCACCCAGGAACAAAAATTGTGTGACTTCATGTAATGCATGTCTTTGTACGACGGAAGTAGCGGACATGATTGCAGCAATTTAGAGTACAGCGCGGGCATCACAGATGCTTTTTGCTAAGGAGTCAGTGTGGCTTCTCTCCGAGAGGCCAAGGGCAAAGAAACCATGCCATTCGTATTTGCTTTCCAGGTTTTGCACGGGTTCTGAACCGACAAGTCTGTCTTTGTAACTTGGTATGCCAATTTGTACAGGGCTGCCACCTATTTGCGAAGTCTGAACGCACCAGTTGTACAATTGTGCTTATTACGAAGGTGCTGCAATTCCTACAACAGACAGGGTATAAGGTTTTTTAACTTTAAAGAACCCACCCGCTGTCTCTAATTGTAAAGACTGTTTTTAAATTCTGCCACCAATTATACAGGTGTGGATGATTATGGATGTAATTCAGGTAACTGCCACCAACGTGAGGTATTGCCGATGAGAAGTGGCTCCCCAGACGCAGATAAATGGAGATAACACGGTCTTCAACAAAAGTTAATGTTTATTTTGTACAAAGCGTATGGTTGCAGGCTGGTAAATAACTTGGAAATACTTTGAATAACTTATAGAACTTTGGATGTAACTGGGTTTGCAATACAGTTCTCTCTTCTTGATGACACAACTTATGTTTGACTTTTACTGTGGTGAAGCACTTTCTTAAACAATGTTTCCTGAGGTGAATAGCCTTCCTATTTGATCCTTTCTTGATCAAATCCTAGATCCCTAGTTCTTTCCTAACTAGTGATCTAAACAAGCTTCCCTTAGTCTTCTCTGACTAATGAAACTAATTAGGTTTCTCCCTTCAGCCTTCCTAGACTGAAGAAACCTCTGGCTATTCACACACACTGCTTCCCCACTCTCCACTCTCCTCTCTCAACTACTAACTCTGAACTCCAACTGAACTGCTTCTTTTCAAAACGCAGCTAACATTCTCTTGCTAGGCTCCGCCCACTTCTCACTCTCTGAGCAAGCCTGCTTGGTTTCCTTGGCAACCTCCTGTGGATACAACCAGTTAGCTCTAGCTTTCAGCTACTGTTACCAAAACAAATATATTCTAACAGTATCAATGACTTCTGTACAGTAACATTTCCCAAACAAACGCCTAGGCAATGTCCTTGCAGACAGCCAGCTCTCTCACTCCAGAAGCGACTTGCAGTTGCTTAAGTTGCTCCTGACATAAAAAAACTTTTTAAAAGGTACATAATTTTTGTTTTTGTTCATTAGTTTGTTTATGTGTACATTGATATACAGCAGTATTTCTCAACCTGGAGGTCAGGACCCCTGCCGGGGGGAGGGTCGCAAGGGGGTGTCGGAGGGGTTGCCAAAGGCCATCGAAAACACAGTATTTTCTGTTGGTCATGGGTATTCTGTGTGGGAAGTTGGGCCCAATTCCATCATGGGTGGGGTTCAGAACGCTCTTTGATTGTGGGTGAACTATACATCCCAGCAACTACAATTCCCAAATGACAAAATCAATCCCAACCCCATCAGTATTCAAATTGGGTATTTGTGCCCAAATTGGTCCAGTGAATGAAAATACATCCTGCAAGTCAGATGTTTACATTACGATTCATAACAGTAGCAAAATGAAGTAGCATTTTGTGAAGTAGCAACGAAAATAATGTTGTGGTTGGGGGTCACCACAACACGAGGAACTGTTTTAAGGGGTCGCGGAATTAGGAAGGTTGAGAACCACTGGTGTAATGGAGAGATATGGAAGGGAACCTTCTAAAGGTCATCTAGTCCAGCCCCTTTCAGTCACATAGACATAGATGGTTGAGAACCACTGGTATACAGGTTTTGCATTAATTTGTCTGAACCAGTGGGTTGTACATAAACCCAATTTTCCTAGTTTCCAACAGACCTCACAACCTCTGAGAATGCCTGCCACAAATGCAGGCGAAATGTCAGGAGAGAATGCTTCTTGAACATGGCCAGACAGCCCGGAAAATCTACAACAACCCAAAAATTATATATCCAAAACCACACAATTGTCCAGGTTCATAGGCAACCTCTGGAAAGGACGACACACAACAGGCTT